TGTGTGTGTGTGTGTGTGTGTTTATATATATATATATATATTCTCTGTCTGCGTTTGTGTCTGTGTACACGTATATGTGTTTGTGTAAGCGTGGTGGTAAGTTTACTGTACATGATCATTCATGAGTTTGCATATATTAGATTACTTTTTCTATGATTGTTGACTATTTAGTGAAGAAACTTAATCGTCCTAATGCTCAGATATGGTCAGTCGTATTTATTTGTGCTTTACTTGGCAAGCACGCAGACATACCGTAAAAACCTCGCCATCGATTTCCAGTGCTTTCGGCGGAGATGAGAAATCTTCTGCACGGCCGATTATAACATACCCACGATGAGTGGAAGTGGGGCCAAATGATGGCTGCTTGTTGTTGATACCCTGTAGCACCTTCATGATTGTCAGGTGGAAGTATTATATTGTGTATTGTTGTGGATTGATATCTGTCTCCACTCACCTACTCCCGTATTTGTATTTATGTGCATATTTTAGCCAATATTCCAAAACTTCTTGTTAAAAAATGGATCTTTCTCAGAGAGAAAGTTCTTTTTCGGGACTCTATTTACAAATGTATGTCTGACTGTATTTATGTTCATAGGGTTTTTTAATGTCATCAATTTCAGCCTATTCTCCTCGTCTATTATAACACAGTGGCCAGAGTATGTGTTTGAATCACACACATCACAAAGAGCACAAATAACAGATCGCTAGGAATATCAAGGCGTTACGTGTGTGTAAGTAAGCCAATTAGGTAGTATAAAATATAGTGTGAGTACGAAATCTGATAGAAGTTCCGGACAAACAGTTACCCTATCGATATATTAGACTATGATATAATGAATCGAATTTTTATTGGAGATACATGATGACAATCATGTGGATACCTACAGTTGACTTGCTGAGGTTGCGAGGCAAAGCTATGTCGAAGACGAAGAAACTTCAGGCAATTAATTTCCGCAGACTGTAAGCAGAGGATCGATGTTTATTTTCTGAATACAGAATCTGAATTATCTCGTTTTGGAGGTTATTATGTATGCCTTTGAAAAAAGATTTTTAACTATTTTTTAACGTGTTGTACTCAAACGATGTACGGGTACAGATCTTATGACGTAAATATATACACCTAAAACAACACATCATAAAGACATTTTCCCCTGTGCAAGCGACAAACTAATTACATAAGAAGCGATTATTGTTAATATGGGTATGCCAATCTAAAAATGTTTTAGTTGTGTCCTGAAATATTTTTTCAAAACATGCATCAAACAGTCGGCTATGTATTTTTTTACTAAAAAAAACAAAATCGTATTTAGAATATTCACTATTTACGATCGACTGCGACCTTCCCTGCCTGCCCGCCTCCCGGCCTGCCCTCAGACTACTCTCTAGTAGAGGTACTTCCCACCACGGTCACCACCCAAGAGGCCATGACCCAGTCACCCAGGACCCAAACGCCAAGAGGGAAACCCCTGGAGCCCGCCGGCCCATCAGTGGTCAGCGACTCCGAATTCCGGACCCCGGGGGGCCGCCAGCCTTTCTATCAGCACAAAAGAAAATCAAACATCATGACGTAAACAGTTCGCAATACATTTAATAAACAGAGTAAATATTTTTTTATACAAATAAATACAAACTGGAGGGAGTGATCACCAGAAGAAGAAAAAATTGCCTCAGTGAGTCAGTGACTATTATTTTAGTTATGTACTGATAGTCTGACACTATTATTAATGTACAGAGAAGGAATGGTATCAAAATTAATATTTTCTCCAATTGGAGGAATTCCTTATTTGGGCAAATGTTTGCGATTTCTGGAAATAACTGGACAGTGAAGACTGAAGACTGGGGCACTGGGCGTCTGGGCCGCACTCGGGTCATCTCGGAGGACAACACCGTGACTGATTAGTGATTACGACAGTCTCGACTTTCGCGTAGATATGTACAAACAAGATATGCGAAACTGACCACAACAACAAGAGCGATATTGTCATCTGTAAAATATTAATATTTACAATATAAACACAAGTGTGAAATCAAATATATAATGTAAACAAGTCCGTTGAATATAAAACAACTGCGTGCTGCTTCCCCTCGCTCAGTATTATTGCTATCTTAAGTATCAACAGGTAGTAGAACAATATGGGAAGGTTTAGAGATCGTCGCAACTCGGGCTCTGGCTCAGGCTCCGGCTCTGGTGAAGAGTCCTCCGATGACGAGGGTCGTCCTCGCACTTACCGCATGCGTGAGAAACTTATCGATATCGGAGACGATTACCAGATCATGTACCTTAAGAATAAGATCCGCCGAAAGCACGAATTCACAGCCAACAACAAGAAGGCCCGCATTCGTACCACCTTCCACATGCAAACTGCCGATGGTGATACTGTGTACAAGTTCCACAAGAAAAAGATGCGTCTAAGAGACACGTACGAGATCGAGAACGGTGACGACGACGAGGTAGCCAAGATTCACAAGGATCTCGTCAACATTATCCGCGACAAGTTCGATGTATCTCGTGAAGATGGCAATGACAGTAAGTAGCAACAACACTGCTGCGAAGTGATAAGCCTCACCCTTATTTTCAGATGTTATTTTTTGTAGTTCCTTCGATAAGTTTAACTCTACGCGCTTTTCCTTGCTCGCCCAACCTTTCTAATTGATTATTTTACAATATTCTTTCTAATTTAAATTCTGCAGTCGAAATTGAGGGCTCGATTATCCGAAAGAACTACGAATACAAGGACAAAGAGACCGGTGAAGTGATCGCCAAGGTGCACGACTGCTGGATTGACCCCGTCGCCGAGGCCTACGAAATCGAGATCGAGCCTGGACAGGATGTAGCCTTCATTCTGACCATTGCCGCCGCTGTGGAGGCCATGAGTCTGGATGTATGTATATATATACTTATATATTGAGTGTGCCTGCAGGCATGCTTGTGTAACTGTCTATGCGGCGCCAGCTGTATCTCAAGCTCTCCCTTGCCATTTGTATGTATGTGGCTGTGTATTCTGTATGTCCGTGGTCTTCTCATGTTTTTTGGTTGAAATTGTGATAATCCCATCACTCGTACTTGCCCGCGGATGACCATGCTTTCAAGGTCACATTAGTGACCAATATATGCTTCCTGTTCGCCTAGTCGCTATCCAGCACAATAATTCCTTCTATTCGCAGTCTTTAGATGGTTTTATCTACGTACGATTGTATGGATATCTTTAACTCTTTTTCAAGCTTACCTAACAACGGGCTTCTTCACTTCCTTATAGGACGAGGATGGCTCTGGTTCCGACTAAGCGTAGCCTCTCGTGGCGCTATTTTGGGAGCAGCAATACACTCAAACTTGTGATGAACACCTCATACCCGTGTACTAGCTACATTCGAAATAAAATGTATCTAAAATGTTATCATGGCCTATTGTATCATTTTTATAAATATTGAATACATAAATATCATGTATTTATATGTATATTACATTATGATATATATATATATATATTACATGGTATATTATTATATTAATTTATTGTTATGATGATTTATTAGTGTATTCTATTTTTTGTGTAAATGTCATTGTTGGGATATATGCTTCCTCTGTCTCTAGGTAGAGAGTACTCTCGAACATTCTACCTTGTGAGGAATTTGCAGCATTTCTCAAGAAAAAAAAAGGTATTCGCCTTGTTGTCGAGACTGCACTCGTATCTCTATTATGTTATCTTAAGGGGCGACAAAACTTACTACATACTTGTTAGCACACGTATTCCGGGACAATACCGGTTTCATAGTTCTAACCCCATGCAGAAGCTGCACTTCCTCTCATCCACCCTTAACAGTCTGTGCATGAGGAATCTAGTTTCCATCAAGAAGGCATTTATATACTATTTGCGAGGCTGTTATGTTAATCTGTATTTGAGTTGCAGGCAGTGCAGTGTCTCTGACTGACTGACCTTATACGTGGTTGCGATACGTTGATTGTCACTCCATAGTACTCGGTTATGGTGTTGGGTGGATGTTTCATAGTATTGGGAGCTAGCGCCGAGTAAGCCGGTACTATACTTGCTCTACCTGACTGCAACCCATGCACACTCCACTGCATATCGGCGCAGTGATACGTGAGTTCCCCAAATGCCCGTGATGCGGGCTGAGCCCTCGAACCCTGCGGATAGCAATACCCTCTGCCCGTTGCAACACTATATCTCATCGCCCAATCCAGGCGCACTGGGTTCACAGTACAAGCCGTCCCAATAGACTGCTGTCTAGTGGGAATGTACGCGCCCTGAACCAGTTCCTCTGTTGCTGTATATACACATGCGAGGTGTGTCCTCGACTATTCTAGCTTGCCCCAGCCCCCTTCTGCCCGAGCATACGCTGCAAAACGTTGCAAGACGTTATGTAGAGCCACGTCGATCCAAAGGTATGCTTGACATCGCCTAAGCGTCCTGTGCTGCAGTTCCGCACCATGGCAACCCTGTGTGTGCGGCGCTGCAGGCGTCCGATCTTAATGGGATAGCGAGGTACATCGCACTTTACAATTACTAGTCCGTTCAGCGTTATTATGCTCGCTAATCTAACGTATACTGTTCTAATCTGCATAGCACTTTGCCCGAAGTACGGTATCCCACAGGCCGAAATCGTATAGCGGCTGATGATCTCATAGAATTGCAGATCTGGTGGTTGAAAGCCTAAGTTGGCCCTCCTCAGCGAAATGAGATTCCAGGAAAACGCTCGATATATATAAAAGTTCCCATCCGTCGAATAGCTGTGTATGCCCACAATTATTCGGCGGCATGTGGTTCGAGTGTGCTCCTGATGACACTGTCCGCACTGATGTCACAACCTTGTTGTGCACTTGAGAAGGTTGTGTTGAGAACTGTATGTGCAGCTGAAGAGGAATCTCAATCTCTCGGAAACCTTCCACTGCGTATATCTGACAGTGCGGGTATGACTTGCCCTTGCTCACGCCCAACATTTCTGTGGATACCATTTCGGACGTTTATTCCGTTTGGTTCTATTTTTACTTTTCTACTTCTAGAGAGTCATGATACCATCCATCGATATGACGGCGATTCACAGATGCCATTGCTCAAAATGCCGTTGAAGAAACTCCGTGCATTCAACCGTGTGAGAATGCCAAAGATTTCATCAATCGATGCTTGGGAATGCCATGGATGCCTCTGGTCGAATCATTGAGAAATGCCGCAGACATGCATCGAACACATGACTGCGACGGCCCTATCAGTCACTCCGCTAGCAGACTGCGAATGTCCTCACATGTCACTCATCAGTGGACAGGCTCATACGTTCTCAATCGCCCCTCAGAGGGTCAGAAATGTCACAGATCGCCCTCAGCTACTGGTGAACGAGCTAACTAATTTTTTATTCTCTCCGCCTATCTATGTAGATGAACCTCCGGGATGGCTGTTCCAGTTCAACAGCCCCAAATTTATTCGTCCGCTTCGCCGTCTAGCTTGTCCTCTAATTCGGCGATGGCGTGCTCCATATCCTCGCGCGTCATCTGCCTCCTGTCGTATCTCCTGAGTTGAGTACCACAAGACAGCAGTCAAACAAATCAGCATCAACTAGAACAAGCGAGGCAGCACGAAGTATGGAACGGATGCATGCACATACACATACACATGTGACATGCACATACACATACACATGTGACATGCACATACACATACACATGTGACATGCACATACACATACACATGTGAAGGGCGCACGTGCCAGGTGTACATGAATAAGCAATCTGCACGCAAAAATGGAAAACACAGACAATGCACGCACAGGTTGAGAAAGAAAGTATAGGCAGCAATATGCACGCAAAAATGCAAAACACAGACAATGCACACGCAGGTTGAGACAGAAAGTATAGGCAGGACACACAGGCGACGCAGGGATGAGTTCAGTACATGAGTGTACGAATATAAGAATTGAGTATATAAATGCCTAATACATGTGTGTGTGTGTGTAGGGCGTAGGCAAATGCAATAGATGTGCGCAGAAGCTACAGCACACGAACGCCGTACGAGTACACTCTCAAACTAAACACACACCACAAACGCATACTTATACACATACAGACGTACACATACATACATACATACACACATACATGCAGACATACACGCACTCATCCACACTCACAGGCTCAGAAATCACACACGCACGAAGAACCTCTTTGACCCGTACGCTCAAGAAAGATACAAAGAGAAGTGCATCTGCGTACCCGTGCGAAGAGTTTTGCGCAGTGGGTGCATGAGATATATTGGATATGTTGGACTCTGTGGCGGGCAATTTCTTGGCTCTGGCAGTGTCTGTTGTAGGGGCGCCATCAGTTGTAGCCATTCTGGTGAGGGTTGCCGATACGCTCAGTTTAGCCACCAGCCCACTACCAGGGTCGTGGAGATCGAATTCGCTATGGTCGTCTCCAGTCGGATTGCTGTCAATGGATAGAATTTAGGAATGGAAATGAATTGGGGCTAAGATTTGGCTCGGGGTGCAGGAAAAATGGGTGCTGGAAGTGCGGATTTCGGGTGAGAATATAATTGAGATTCAATTGGAATATAAGTGAGTCAATTGGAATCAAAGTGGGATTCAATTGGAATCAAAGTGGGACTCAATTGGAATCAAAGTGGGACTCAATTGGAATAAAAGTGGAATTCAATTGGAATAAAAGTGGGATTCAATTGGAACAAATGTAGGATTCAATTGGAATATAAGTGAGATTCAGTTGGACCGTTCGTTGTTAAATGCAATTCACTGCAGAACAGGAACCAATCCACGTGAGAACAATATAGAGATAGTGCACACTCACGAGACCAAGCAATCTAACCAAGGCAATAAACCCTGAATCCCCTCTCCTTATGCATTGAATCACAAACAAAAGAAGAACACGAACAACACGTCAATACACTGGCCTCAGGTCGGGGACAAATGTCTTCCGCTCTCCTGACACAAGGCTCGTTCATTGGTCCTTACTAAACATCTCACCTCCAATCGCATCATCTCACAAACAACTTACCGGAGCACGAATTCTATGTGGGGCAGTGCGATGGAGCCAGAGGTGGTCTGTGCTGTGTTGCTGGTGTCTGGTAGTAACATCTTGGCCACTCCCACGCCAAACAGCTTAGACACGCCACCCAGGTCATCGAACATTTCAATCTCTATGCTATCTGATGTGTGTTCCTGCATGGAGCATGGTATGCCGTTTGTGTTAATACGTTTATAGCATATACGCTGTCAGCCATAATCTGTATTAGAATTGTCTGTCTTGCTTAGATGTGGCTTGTTTAATACCGCTTGTGCAGGAGATAGAAAGTGGTCCGACTTTAATATATTCTCATGCTAATTATGTTCCCACACACCAACCCAATCTCGTATGTCCATGAATATCAATTTCTCACTTTGTCACATACCTAATTGATTTTGAACTGTGCTCACACGGCAAATAACCGTCGCACATCAGAAAACATCCAGCTCTTAAACACCCAAAGAAATTAATACACCAACTAATATCAAGTACTCTCATACCAGAACCATTTCGTACGTTGATTCTATCATTTCCTTACAGACACACCTTTAGTTTCATGCATAATGACATAATATATTATCGAATTCTCACATGCCAAATTAATCTCGTATGTCAGTGTAGCACCAGACCAATCGGGCACCGCCGTGCGTGAGGAGGGCGTCTTCTTGCGTTGGCAATTGACTAGAACAAACAGATTCCGGTTCGGTTTTCGCTTGGAATCGGACACCTGTCATGCGAATACAAGTCTAGTTGTACGTTAAATTGTAAGGGAGATCTGTGTCGGTTTGAAAGTGTTTGCATTGTTCGTTCTTTATAGATCTTCTATGTGTAGTAGGTTCCGATAGCAGAACTTCCATTCAGGGATTGAAGCACATGATACAACTTTCCATACACCATCCCTTACCATTTAAACGTAATGCTACTTTTAGAGGCGTCTCGAAACCACATCAAGAAACACGTGCGCAGAAACTGGCGTATGCGCATAAGAACTTATTAGACCTGCCTTTGTAAAGCCTATACGATGTGCCTGTGCGTGCAAGATATGATAGATACGTCCAACACAACAACACTTGCGACAGGCAAAGACAAGTGCCCATACGCCGCATGTAAGCGCTACTGCATGACATGACAAAGAAATGGCCAGCTAATAAGCTCATGGTGTACATGTGGCTTCTGTGAGTCACACTCGAAGCCACCCAAACAATACAGTTCGGGACAGCCGCCATTGCGTTAGAGATTGTTCACAGGGCAGGGCAAGACAAGACAAGAACGACCAACTCTTTTAACCAGTGGAATGTGGCGCAGCAGTCACGTGGGCCTCCATGCTTGGCAATAGAACCGATCCAGCATTCACAATGTGTGGTCAACTAGCTCAATACGCATACAACTGGCTAGTGAGGTTCACTTACCTTTGACAGGGTGCATTTGGGAAAGCGCAGCTTCAAGCGATGCGTGGGTTCCTTATCATGGTTACTGTTCGGTGTCAAAACAAGCCAATGAAATGAGCGCATTGCGGAACGAACGAATGGCTGGAATATATCCCTTAGTAACACTGTACATGCCTTATTGCGCCAATATGTTGAGTATGTGAAAAATGTACAAACAGAAGTGTTTTTGGGAATCAGTTTTTTCACCGGCGCAAAGCTAAGCAAGAAAAATTGGCACTACAAGTACCAATTGAAAGCTTAAAAGGAAACCCGAGCACGCGGTATAGAAAGCACGGGCACGAAACATGAACACTCATGTGTGCATAGATCTCTGTAAACACACAAAATAGGTCAAGGAGACAGCACAGCAAGACACGGCCATTGGTAAGTGTCTAAGTGGAGCGATACAAAGGCGCATACGTGCAATGCAGACAACCCATATGGGGTAGACGTCTACGAATACAAAATAAGTCTATGAGCTGACCGCTAGAACAACCCCACAGATAGTGCGCCATCGAGAAGGGCTTCCCATGTGCACGTGGTGTATACTGGCCCTGTTTTTCAAGCTACACAATCACACAATTTGCGCGCCAACTTCTCGCTGACCTGCTTATTGAGTTCTCTACCCGTATTCCATTCATCACGCATTAGGTAGAGGATATTGTCGGGCCCTGAACAAGAGTAGCGTGTACTGGCGTATAGCTTTTAGGGTTTAGGTTTTTTTTACCCTAAACCCTAAAACCTTAAAACGTTAAAACGCCCCGGCCAATTGTCTGGGACGCAATGCGATTACAAACACGGTATATGCGAACTAGGTTTGCCCTGAATACAGAAATTGAATAGATACATCGCAATCAAATATATTCAGAGACTGAAAACCTTGAAATTGGGACTAAATGTCATTTAAAAAAGGTCCTCATACGCATGAAACGCTTCACCTCCTCACATAGAAAATCACATACGTATATGGGATGGTGATGGCACCAGGGAACACCATCTCGTCTAAAATTATTTTTTTGATCTTTCTTTCCAAGAAACTGGCAATCTGTGCAGTGTAGATGAAGCAACGCAGGGCGTGAGAGTCGAAACCACTTCTGTTTGTTCTGTTGCCGAGGTGGAGATTTCTGTTTGAATTTTTGCGGATATTTGCACACATGTACGCGTGTGTATTTCTGCACCATATACAGATATACGTTCATATGTGTTCTTATAGCGTATATCCTCTCGCCAGTGTGAATTACGATGTTTTGATGTACACCAATACACGTGCATGTGAATGCTCACGCCTGTGTTTCGACGAATGTATATGTCAGACTAAGCACATAAACAAATCAAATCAAAAATTGTTCCCAACTCTAAACCAACTACACTGTGCAGATATGGGGATTGCCTATGCAAGCGACTGCCACTTTGACACCTCATGACACCAGACGGATGTCCCACTTCACACCGCGGCCGAAACTCGGACATCGCGTTAGAGGCACGGCACAACTACCCTTAGACATACGCAACAGATACCGGAAGCATGCTGCTAATTTCACAATCAAGCCATCCAGAATCTGTAGCTTGCCATTTCCTGGGTAGGCCAAGACCACCCATATGAAACGCGAAAGCGCCATTGTACGCACGCCATGTTGGTCACTTTAAACGCACCCGGTCTTACACTAGGCGACTTTCACTCGCATGCACCTAGTGATCCCTATAACAAACCTTGGGTGACACAAAGGAACCGGCCTTGAAGCGCATCCTGAGTTCGATTAGCGGCGCTTCGTTGAAACACACCTGCAAGTGCGTCGTATTGGATCCTGCACACACACGACGGAAGACATAACAAGAAGCAATAATGAGGATTTTAGATACAACGTCATGATGCAGTGAACCCTTCGCGTGCTCTATTTCTGTACGCCTTCCTTCGCCTATCCATGTGCAAATTCTCGAGTACGTGTGTCTTATGTCTGCGGATTGCATGGAAACTACGATCCCTATGGCTATAGCTAGTACCAAACGGGCGCGGAGTTAAACAAGACCTAGAAGAGTACATACTTCATAGCTAACTAGATATGCAAACTGAGGCCTTAGCTAAGTACATAGAGCCGCAATCGACGGGGTGCTCATGCAATATATCAAATACAGCCAATAATACACATAGCACAAAGTACAGCTCACAACCACAAGGGGCCAATACACGCATACTTATCGCCAAGCTGCCCTTAATCAGAGGAATGGACACCGTAATCTGTATCTGAAGGTTTAGAGCCGTCAGCATGGCTTCGGCACGGCATTTGATACCACCTTCGTACTCCAATGTGGCCGATACCAAGGACTGGCTCTCATCAGCCATGATTAACTGCACGGACCGCAGCTGTGGTAGTTGCTCGCCCATCTGGACTGGTACGATGGGATAGTAAAAGCAGTACATGAAAAAACTGGGCTGTATTACTTCTTCGCATATCTGATTGATGATACAGAATAGCAAAGTGCGGTACAATAAGAAGTGTGGGCTATGGGCCACACTCGCCCATCTGACCTGACTTAACAGAAGGATAAAGTGCGGTCCATGGAATTGCGGGGTGTGATACTTTTTATCCCATTCGGATGATGTGATGGAATGAAGGGGTGTGGTAAATGAATATACTGGGCCATATTAATTCGTTGCCCATCTGGACCTATTTAACCGTATAACGTAGCGTGGTACAAGGAGTGTGAGCTGTGGTACTTGCTCGCCCATCAGCCACATGAGATTTGTGGGCTGTGCTACCTACACACAATCTAGACAGACATGACCAAGTGCTACAGTGTGGTACATGAGAATACTGGGCTATATCACTTCACTGCCCATCGCTCTAATGGGGAAGTCTCACCAATCATTCACAAGGAAACTGCACTATAACCATCACCACATGCATTGTCAGTGAATAACATCAACGCCGACGACGCCAGCATGTCACACCTATCACACCCAGAAAGAAAGTACTCTTGGATAGTAACACATCGGTACATACATTCGAGGATCTTGACGTACGACAAGAATGTGATATCCTTCTCGGTCAGCTGTTCAGAGTCGAAGGTGAGCTTCTCAGTGAACTGTTTGTAGGTAATTGTGAGTAGACAATTGCTGAGGGTTAGGCGTAAAATGCCTAAAGACATGGTAATGGATCGAGGATTGGGCACAGAAGACCTAAAGATAAGGTAATGGATGTTACGAAGAACGAGGGTGTACTCAATCACCCCTGAGGTTTGAGTTTACGGTGAGTGATGCGAAGTCTGCCATCCATTATTGAGTGTCAAAGAGCAGACGATAAAGGGAGGGGAAAGAAGTGATATTTAGACAACGAGGCACCAGTTTCAGAGATTGAACAAGGAGAACAAAGAATGAACGACCGTTGATAGAAAAGCCGATTGCATTTATTGCTAGTGAAAATCGCCCCGAGGGTGTGAAAAGGTAGCGAGCGAATTGGGTTCTGATCAACCCTAAATCCAAACCAAATCTCGGAATTTCGACGATGAATATATCTAAGGAGCGCGGCTGCGAGTGTTCGAGGATAAAAGAAATTGTGATATGGGGATGCAGTGGGATACGGACCGATTCCATACAGTGCATTTGTGGGCCTATCTCGAACGACGCGCGTGTGTCAAGGTAGATCAATGCAGATTTAGTGATGTGATACGGAAGTGGGTGCAAAACGAAGACACGCCCCAGGAATCTGAACCCAGGAGGTGGAGATATATTGCTCCGCAGTATGGCAATTGGCAACGGATTAAGACAAAACCAAAACAAGTAAGTCAATAGTAGGAAAAGAGCCGCATGAGCTGACACGAGTCAGCCGGAATATATAATTTGTGTGTGTTGCCAGACGTGCATGTAATGTAAGCCTACGCGATGAAAGGCAGTCCGACAATACAACTGGCCCCACTTGATACGGCATACTACCGTTTAATACAACGGACTACTGTTTGATACAATGTAGTACTCTTTGGTACACCACAGTACGACTTATCACAGTTCGGTACCATCTGATACGATCAGTGCCCCATCATGCGACACAGTCCCACTCGATCTGACACATAACCATTCAATACGACACACCGCCATCTGGTACGACATAGGACCATTTAGTTCAACATGCGCAAACTTACCGAGTCCTCCAGTGGCTCACGGCCCACAAAGTCGTAGACAATCTTGTGTACGATATTATTGAACCACTCGCAGGTCTCTGCGGCGTTTGACTTATAGCGCGCCCGATCTGCGTAGAGACAACGCATTTGTAACATGTTTCAAATGCACACATGCAAGTCCTTTTCAGAATACGATCGGTGACATAACGCCACGTGTCAGCGTGTGTCGTACAATTGCACTTATTGCAGCATATAGACCCTCACATAACTCGCCATACGTAGGTGGACAAGCCCTTTACAACGCCCGTACATACGCCACTGCCAGTAAATTGCGTCTGATTCGTTTTGACATGTATTAGCACCACTAGAAGCATCATTTATACACAATAAGCTCCAAAGATTTGACGAAAATTCTTCAAGTATACACATTTTCGAGGCAACATATGACAGGGCCGTGCTATAGGCTCGTGTGAAATATCGTCCTTCTGAACTAGATCTACATACAACCGCTGCTAGTCCGCTTACACTACGCACAGATACAGATATACTGAATGTGATATGCACCACACAATGAAATGTCCTGTATTCAACGTAGCCATCGCATATGCTCGCACCAATTTGTATGTACGTATGTCTGGATAATGCCCACATTCTCAAACGTTCGCGTGGTGACCACATGTCCTTGACACACAGTGCACATACTCTTAACATAGTCTGGTATCCTCGGGGGAGCACTCTCCATGACAGGTAAGGGTGTCTCCGGTAAATCATTCTGCCGCCATAGCCACTGCAGCCCTCGTATGAATAGAACTTCTGCAATCAGGTTTGGATTGAGGCTATGAGAAACATAGAACATAGCTATAGCCATATATCTGAAGTAGCAACTCAATTGTGTATCAAGTCGGGGACGTGTGATGCAACTGTGCAGGTCGACCCATACCCATTCTACTGTAAGTGAACAGACATGGTTAGCACATTCGCTCAGAGAAAGGCGGTGGGTATCAAATTTGTCCTCAAAGTTCTAACAAGACAACATCCAACCCGATTCGAGGCGAGTAAAGTAAACCTAAATACACATAAGTATATGCAAGTGCGAAGTGAGAACTGTGAGTCGAGAGTTTTGACTGATGTCAGAGCATGCAGCCCGGAACAACTTGTGTATGCGCCCAAATGATACGTACCATTACTTCCGGACTATATGATTCGCCGTTAGCCATCATGCATGTAAATACATACCCTCTAAACATAATACAAAATGTAATTACTTTCGCACACGCATATATGCGTATTGTATCAATGTACTGTGATTGCACACCAAATGTGCGCTAAAGTGACGGCAAGGCACTATAGTAGGCATAAAAATTGCGAATATGCGGCCCACTTACCTAATATGATGGCTAGTACCACACCGGTATAGAACCCACAGGAGAACAGATCGTAGGTAAATAAGTCAAATTTACTCATCTTTGTGTCCAGTAGCGTGTATGCATATGGTAGTGTATGCAGATAATGCGCTATGACCGATTTTATATACAATTATAATAATTATTGGTTACGAATGCAATCTGGTTGCTCCAGCAAAAACCAGAAGACCTCAAGAAAGCAGAACGTTTGTAGAATGTGATGTACACAACCTTGATATACAAAAGTACATGTATTGAAGGAATGTACTGTATTGAGGATGTATCCTTACTTCTTCTCGGTGTGTACAATCTATTACCCGCACAGCATAGTTCTGAATAGTGGCAATATACGTATGTATAGTCGATGAGTGTTCTACACTACAGTAAAAGTTCCTCTTTATAGAATGCTACTGTAAATATAGACTCTATAGTCACTTCCTACATATTCTCAATATATTTACATAAACGCTTCTAGCGAACCGGTCTTTTGAACCAAACACCTACTGATTGAAGCGATTACCGCAGGCCAACATACATATTTCAATATTCTGTGAAGAAAAAATTAATATATTTGATACAAATAGAACTAAAACATACGTACGGTAATAGCTAAGGGCATATCATGTTGAAGGTCATGTAACTCATGCGGCAAGTGAGCAAGGTGCAACGTAATGGTCGATTATTTACGGTCTGACAGGCTGTGTCGCAGGCATAAGCTCACCTGGAATTGAACGTGATATAGTTTTATGATAATATTAGTTGGAACCATGTTGAATTTACATAGTATTTTGTGCTGATTTGTATTGCAGACTCAGATCTTCCGCATCAAAACAGCTGTGTTGGCCTACAGGATCCATAGCAAACAGATCATATGTTGATTTGAAGTCATGAGGTGGCAGCTACGTATGGTCAATAAATCCTACGCTGCAATACAATCAACCGAAGGTGTCAATCAATTTATTTCTTAACTACAGTCTATATACAAAGTATTAGATTGCGAATGTGCTCTAGGCTAGTGTTGTGGTGTGGGCAATCACTGCGGCGTGTATTTTGGCTCAGTTAAGATTCTCGTTTGTTTGTGTGCGACAACTGAGTTGTCAGTTGATTATCCAAGAAAATACGACACTCTAGTACTTATATGCTTATTTGCTTGCTTACTTGCCTGCTTGCTTGCTTGCTTGCTTGCTTGCTTGCTTGCTTGCTTGCTTGCTTGCTTGCTTGCTTGCTTGCTTGCTTGCTTGCTTGCTTGCTGGCTTGCTTGCTTGCTTGCGAGGAATGCATATGAGTTCAAAAGGATATTTGAATCTATCCAACTGATTCATACAATTCTCTCGGGTCCATTTGTGCAATTTTCTTTTTGACAAGTACACATACAAGCGACATATCCGGTTATAGGACAGTACAAGATAGAAGAGATGCGTTTCGTTGTCCAGATACAATTTGATTGTACATGTTACTTGGGTGAATCATGTTTGACCTGCGTGTTGTGAATCGCGTTTCGTTCTTTATTGAAGTTTGTGTTACCAATTGTGGCTATCATTGTGTGCTACCTGTGAGGTGAAATTCACAGTAGTCTTCCGCTGTAGAAACCGTTTTTCAATTCTCACCCGGATGACTTTGACAACACAAAAGAGCCTGCCCTGGACGGATCATGTAAGCAGATATATATACCTACATATTTCGGTATTGTGTAAAATACGACTCTGTATATACATACATATACACCACTGTCATAATAGACAACATTCTACATAGAGCAACCTATACATATATTGGTATACAAGACGCATCATACAGCTCGGAAAATGGTTCCCACCACCAGAGGTCAAGGGCAACCACGCGGAAAGCATGGTAAGGCATCAAAATGCATAGCCAATCCCTTATATCTGCTGAGCCAATCATTGCTACATATGTCATCGTTAAATATTTTAGAGCGCACCCCATACGTGTGTGTGGAGTATGTATGTATGTAAATCATACACCAACAATATGTATCGGTGATTCTCTGAATCGGTTGCTTAGTTATCTTAAGTCTTGCATACCCAATATAGGCGATACTGGAACATCCTCTGGCGACCCAAATGTACCTGAGACTTCGCCTGATAGGACTACGCCTGAACCGCGCGAGGGTTCGGGATCTGCACCAAACACAGAGGGCTCAGCGGGACATGAAGAAGTAGCGCATTTTTATAAACAGTATCTCGATCGAGTAGGCAAACCGAGTAAGTATTGTTGTGAAACTATATTTCTGGCCATCGTACAATTATTTGTGTATGTGTTTGGAGGATTCGGGCTTGGGGATGCAACATGCATATTCACCTTTTGTTTCCTTTATTTTATGTAGTTAGCGTGAACACTTCAGGTGTTAACGTCAAGTATTCGCTCATCTTACAACCAATGCAGGGTGTGTCCTAAACCATATTCCCGTCTGTAAAACTAATCAGCATGAGCAATAGCATATTTGTATGTATATATATATATGTGTGTGTGTGTGTATGTGTGTGTGTGTGTGTATGTGTGTGTGTGTGTGTGTGTGTGTGTGTGTGTGTGTGTGTGTGTGTGTGTGTGTGTGTGTGTGTGTGTGTGTGTGTGTGTGTGT